GACTTATTATATTTTAGAAGTTTTTAAGTAAAGCCTTAGTATAGCTTTATAAATAGATTTAAAATACTCTATTTTTTTTCGGACTAAAATATTATAATAAATAGATAGCTTTATTAAAAAAACTAAAAACTAACTAGAGTCTATAGCCTAATATATTATCTAGCTTTAACTTTTAATAGTCGAGATAAAATTAAGCGAATCTTAATTATATTATTTATATAAATAATAGAAGCTCGAGGAAAACTATAGCTAATAGCTTTATTTTATTAGATAATAAATCTATATTAGAGGAAAAATATTAAAAGATATATTTCTATAAAGATATAAATATATATATGGGAAAAAAGTAGTTATAATACTAAGTATTACTAAATTAAATAAGTAATAAGTACTATTAATACTTAATATATATAAATAAAAACTTTATATAAAAATATATGAAGAAAAAATAAAGAAAATATAAGAAAATATAATAATAATTCTTTTTATATAAAGTTAGATATAGCTAATATATAATAAAAGAAATTAAAACTTATAATTAATTCCTATAAATTCTCTAATATATATAGAGAGAAAAAGATTTAACTAATTATAACTATAATTATATAAAAGGCTAGAAGAATAAATAATATTACCCTAGCTAGGTAATAGAATTATTAGAACTTACTTAAGGAAATACTAAGAAAATTTATAAGAATATTAAAAAAAGAACTAGAAAGAAGCGAAATTAAGTTAATTAATAAGAGATTTATAGCCTATAGCCTAGTTTTTAAGATTAATAATATCTTATATATAAGATATAAAATATTTATTATAAAATAAACAAATTATAAGAAAATATTAGCTTAATTTTATAGATCCAGATATTAGTAATAATAAAGAAATAACAAATAAATAAAATACTTATTTATCTAAAACAAAAAAGCTTTTAGGAATTACCTTATATAATAGTATATCTTAAAAAATATAAGAGAAAGAAAGATATTACCTATAGTAATACTAAATACTAGAGTAATCTCTATTAGAAAGCAAATATAGAATTTATATAAGAAATAAGTAAAAGAAAAAAAGAGAAAAATATAAAGAGATTAAGATAACTAAGAAGAAATATATAATATAAGGGCTAGCTATAATAGGAGTCTAAACTAAATAAGGGCCAGAAATAGTTCCCTAAAACTAAAAATAAAAAAGAAATAAAATAGCTTCTCTAAAATTAAAAATAAAGAAGCCAGAAACAGTCTTATAAAGCCGGGAAAAAACGCTATAAAATCCAGCTTTATAGCTTTTACTATTTAATAAACTATAGTAAATCTAGTTAGAAATAGTAAATAATTATATTAATCTAATAATTATTAAGAATAAATAGCTTACTAAGGCTTTAAATATACTTATAATAATATATACTTCTATAAAAACTACCTAACTTAGTATATATTTATAGTCTCTATATACCTAGAGGCTAGCGAGAGATACTAGGCCCTTAAGCTTTTCTTTTTACTAGGGAAATTATATTAGTAAATACTAGAAAATATTAGAATATAATATAGAAATATAAGCCTTTAACTTATTTTTATTAACTTATTTACTAAGCTTATAAATATTATCTCTAAGAAAAAGCTAATAGTATTAGAGCTATTAGGCTAATAATATAAATTATTTATACTAATAGCTCTATTATTCTTAGTATAGCCCTATATTAATTCTATTATAATTAAGTCTAAGATTCTAATATTATAAGGTTTAGTGCTTTCTAGAGAGCAAATATAATAGTATTCTTAGTTTACTATAATTTTTAAATTAATAGAAATACTTTAAAGTAAAGATTATTACTAACCGATTTTAATATCCCTATCTAAATTAATAAAAATATTTAAATAAGTTAATAAGCTATACTCTAATTCTTTTATTATAAAGTAAGTAAGGCCCTTAAATACTTACTATAATTAGTGCCCGTTCTATATTTATTACTCTATTAATACTTATTTATCCAAGTATTAAAGCTAAGCGAAGTTTATTAATATAAGAATTACTAGTAATATATTATAGAGAAATAGATATATACTCGAAAATAATATATAATAATTACTTAAACTTAAAAGTATTAAAGACTAAAATAAAGTTAGAATATTAGATTTATTATAATATATAAAGCTTGTCCTTAATATATAGCCCTAAGAAGCTTCTTACTATAATAATATTAAATAGAGAGCTTTTATATTTTATTATATTAATACAATTACTAATACTAAGCTATAGCTAATAGATTTTCTTATAATTTCTTTATAAAGATTCCTCTTTAATTATTATATATTTATATACTCTAATTTCAGAATTAATAGCTTTTACTAGCCTGAAATATAATATACTTGTCTTAAGATTAATAGTATTACTTTCTAAAAATAATACTCTTTCCCTAGCCTATTATTTTATAATATTTTACCTAGTAATTATATAATTACTATTACTATCTAGCTACTTTATACTACTTTTAGAATATAGATATAGCCTATATTTCCTTAATATATTTAATAAGAACTATATATAGTATTTGTCTGAATTAGAAGTTATTCTAAATATATATAATATAGTAAGAAGAATTCTAAAGATTTTATTAGTTAGAAAGAATAGATCTAAAAATAGTTTTTAATTTATACTTATAAAAAAAGTTTAAGAACTAAAATAGAAAACTAATAAGAGCCAAAATAGGCTCTTATATTACTATTTATAATATTATAAGTTAACTTTAATAAAGAATAGATTTCCTATTAGAAACAAATTACTAAGAGATAAGAAGTAATAAGTAACTTTTATTTTTTTCTTAAAAAATAAGATCTTATATATTAATTATCTCGAGATATAATATATATAATTCCTGAAATAGAAGTAATAATAAGAGGCAGAGAGAAATATTAAATATAGAAATATAGCTAGTATTAAGCTTAATATACTTTATTTTCTATATAAAGAATTAAGAGAGCCGGATAAGAATAATATTAAGAGACTAAGAAATTTGTTTTATAGAAAGAGTAATTACTAATAACTAGACCTTTAAAATTATATTTCTACTATTATTAGCTAGCTATAATTAGAGGCTATTATAAAAGCTTCTAGAACCTTTATTAAGTAATTTCTGGAAAATATATATAATAATTATCTAGAGCTAGATTTTCCGCCCGATTATTAGTTAAAGTATTTCTATAGATATTACTAAATACTTATAATAGCCTAAGTTCTTTTTCTAGAAAATAGATATTAAATAATAAACCTATATTTTAAAAATATAACCTCTCTTTTCCGAATCTAGAGAAGCCGCTAATTTTTCTTTTCTATTTTAGATCTTAATTAGAAACTAAAAATAACTCTAATTAAAAAGTACTCGGCTAAAAAAAAGCCTAATAATAGCGAGATCTATAGTAAAATCCGCGAATATTAAGGATATAGGAAAGCAGGAAATTCATATTTCGAGAAATAATAATAAGTTTATTTAACTACTATATTAAATTATAAGAAAGAGAACTTCGAAAAGATCTTTCACTATATAAATTATAAGGCCATATTTAATATTTAATTAGATATTCTAGAGCTAGTAAGAGAAATAAGATTAGATATAATATATATAATATTTATTATAAGATATTATAAGATAAGCTTTATATCTATAAGTAATTTAAAAGTACTAACTAAATTAAATAGGTAAATCTCTATTATTTTAATAATATTATTAGGAACTTCTAAACTAAGAAGATCTTTTATAATAATAGAGAGATAATATAAAAAATAAATCAAGTAATAATAAAAGCCTTAGAGCTTATTATACTAGATACTTATAAGGCGGATTTCTAGGCTCTATATAATAAAATATAAAGCAGCCAAATCCTTAGTACTTTTAATAAGTAAGACTATAAAGATATATAAAATAGGATATTTTCTATTACTATTAACTACTTAGTTCCTTCTCTCTTTAGCTTTTTTAAGAACCTTAACTACCTTAAAAACATTACTAATAGTATAAAATAATTATTTCTACTATTACCTAATAATATAATTTCCTCTATTATAAAAGATAAGTACTCTAATATAAACTATAAACCTAATTAGTATATAATTCAAGAATTAGAATTCTTTTATATATTCTGGCCCGGAAGCCTAGTAAACTAAATAGACCTTAAATAATAATAGATATAAATATTTATAATATATAATTACCCCTATATATTTATAATACTAAAAAGAAAGAAGAAGTTATTAATAAAGCCTATTACTAGAAAAATAAATAAGATTATCTTATATAAGTTTACTACTTTTGCTTACTAATTAGGATATAAGTCTGAGCCTATTCTTAGCCTAATCTAGTAATTAGCTAATAAGGATATTACTTATAGTGCTTTCCTAAAGGCTTATAAACCTAACTATTATAAATATAATAAAGTAATATTTGAGAACTATATAAAATAAATAGCGAGTTTATTTTCCGAGGCTTAATTAATAATAATAGAGTAAGTAAGTGCTATAGTTAAGATAAATTATTCTAATAAACTACTAAAAAAATCCGGGATCCCGTATATACTAGATTATAAACAAAATAAATTATTTCTTTTCTTAAATAAGCTATATAATACTAGTAAGAAATAATATAATAAGATATTATTTTTCTTTATTTATAAATTAGTATATTTTATATTTTTTAGTAAGCCAAGTCACCCTATTTCTTATTTTCCTAAAGAGGTATTACTATTAGATACTTTAATTTCAGCTTCTCTAAGAGATAATTAAGTAAGAGAGAAGCAGGAATAACTTATATAATAGGAATAAGAACGGCTTACGCGAGAAAAATAGGAAAGACTTATACGGGAGAAATAAGCGAGACTTATATAAGAAGAGCAGAAGAAGCAAGAACGGCTCGCAAGAGAGAAATAAGAAAGACTAGTAAGAGAGGAGCGGGAATAGTAGGTATAGCTTATAAGAGAGGAATAAGAAAGACTAGTAAGGGAAAAGCGGGAATGGCAGGAATAGCTTGTAAGGAAGAAATAAGAGCAATTAGCAAGAGCGAAATAGGAGTAGCTTATAAGAGAATAGGAAAGTCTTGCTCGAGAGGAGCAGGAAAGGTTAGCGAGGGAGGAATAGGAGAGACTGGCGAGGGAAGAGCAAGAGCGGTTAGTAAGAGAAGAATAAGAAAGACTTATAAGAGAGAAATAGGAGCGGCTTGCGAGAGAATAGGAAAGTCTTACTCGAGAGGAGCAGGAGAGGTTAGTAAGGGAGGAATAGGAGAGACTGGCGAGGGAGGAGCAAGAGCGGTTAGTAAGAGAGAAACAGGAGCGGCAGGAGCGGGCTATAATAGAGGAACAAGAGCGGTTAGTAAGAGAAGAACAAGAACGCTTAGTATAAGAAGAGCAGGAGCGGCAAGAGCGGGCTGCGAGAGAAGAATAAGAGAGACTTATAAGGAAGAAATAAGAACGCTTAGTAAGAGAAGAATAAGAGAGACTAGCGAGAGAGAAATAGGAGAGACTTGCAAGAGAAGAACAGGAATGGCTTGCTAAAGAACAAGAGCGGCTTGTAAAAGAAGAGCAGGAAAGACTTGCTCGAGAGAACCAAGAAAAACTGGCGAGAGAGGAACAGGAATAGCTAGCGAGGGAAGAGCAGGAATGTCTTGCGAGAGAAGAGTAAGACAGACTCGTAAGAGAAGAATAGGAGCGGCTAGTAAATAAGAAATAAGAAGGACTTATAAAAGAAGAATAAGACCGTACTAAGTAAGAATAGTTAGTAAGAGAAGAATAAGAGCGAGTTATATAAGAAAAGTAGGAAAGACTAGCAAAGAACCTTACTAAGTAATAGAAAGACAGGCCCAAGTAAAAGAAGCCTAATAAGAACTAGCCAGATAAGAAATCTAAGGTACTAAGAAATTAAAATAGTATATAAAGAGATCTCCGTATATTAGCTTTAGCTAAAAGAAGAAAATAGCTACTTATATAACTTGACTTAAAGAAAGTTACTAATAGTAAGTTTTTAGAAGCTAATTATTATTTTATATCACTATTATAGGTATTTAACTTTTTATTAGAAGCTATAGGAGATTAAGTTAAAGTTAATAATACTAGCTATTCTCTATAGCCTAGCTCGGATTTTTTAGTAGTAAATAACTTAATAGCTTTAGGCAAGCTATTATAACTTGCTTCTAACTCTAGAGAATAAAACCAAGCTATTAAGAGGCCTATATAAGAGAAGCAGGGAAAACTTATAATAGAAAAAGAAAAGTAGCTAGTAAGAGAAAAGCTAGAGCGAGTTATATATAAAGAATAAAAGAAATCTATAGGAGAAAAGTAAAAGAAACCTATAATTAAGGGGAAAAAAAAGCTTATAAAAAATATTACTAAGTAATAAAAAGAAAGACTTAAGCAAAAAATATTAAAGAAAAAAATATAAGACTAGAGCAAATTTAAGATAATAGAAAAAGGAGCCCGAAAAGATATAGGTATAATAAAAAGAAACCGGCTACTTACTTAGTTTATACTTGAGACTTTTAAAGATACCGAGTTTCAAGAACTTATATAAGAAAATCTATTATTCCAGATTATTATAAAGAATAAATATTAAACTATAATAAACTAAGAAGTCGTCCGAAATCCTACTTATAATATATAGCCTAGTATGAATTCTTTAATAACTAATAATAATAACTTAATATCTGCCTTAAATAAGATATTAGATTATATTACTAATTTCAAAGAATAGATTTAGGCTATTAAGCTATAGGTAAGGGCTTGAATTCTCTTTACTTATAGCTAAGCTTATATATCTATAAACTATAAGATAATTAAGTAACTAGAAACTAGATTTTCTAAAGATTTATATAAAATATAAGATCTATAATTATAGTATTTAGAAAGTTTTATATACTTTTCTAATTAATTTTTCTAACTTATTAGAGGCTAGGCAAGTAATAATAAAGTATATAAGAAAACGGATTTATATATTTAATATAAGCTTTTATATACTAATACCCTAAATATATTTTAAGAATATTACTATAAATAATATAAATATAATACTTTTAATTCCGGAATAGGATATTAATATAGATAATTTCCTAACTTCTATATCTAAGAAATACCCTAATTTATAAACGAATTCGGAAGTAGACTACTTTATTTCAGAGTCTAATTTATAGGATAATAGTTTAGAGAGTAAAGAAACTATTTATAAGAAAGTTACCAGGCATAATTTAAGGTAAGTCCTAACTTAAATAAAGATAGTTTAAACTACCTGATCTGGTTATATAATAGTATTCTCTATTAGTATCTTTAATATTAAAATCTTTACTATATTCTATTTATTATAATTTTTCAAGATTTGTATTACTAGACTCGCTTAAATTACTACTTATATTAATAGAAGTAAAGTAATTCGTTCTACTTAGTAATAAGTATATCTTATTAGTTATATATATAATCTTACCTAAGAGACGAGATATAAAGACAGGGGCAGAGATAAGGGGCAGAAAATTCTTAGTCTGAACTTAGGTACCCTATCTAGCTCTCTTGCCTAATTCTAATTATATCCGGGATTAATAAGGGAGCCATATCGGGCCCCCCAATTATCTAATAGAGACAGGGTCCAAGTAACTTCCCTGCCTCTTTCTAATTATAGCCTTTGGGATCGATAGGAATCACAGGGAGCGGGATCGGGCCCGTACTCGTTCAATAGCGAGAGGCAGACGAGCTCGTGTATTTGGGCTATTCAGCCACGTAATTAAGAGGACTGGATTGGCTTTCTTTGTTGCATGTCGCAAAAGAAAAAGACTTTCGTCCAGAGCAGGTGCAGCTATTAGATATACCTCAACCGCCCCTAACGTTATTTATGACGTCGTTTAAGCCCTGTGCAAATTTGTTTACTAATTCTTGAAATAAAACAAACCTGTTAAATATAATCAAGAACTGATGGGGGGTACAGTCGCTAACAAAATCGGTTTCCCCCAAACTTACCGAGAAAGTTTCAGCCCCGCTCGCTAGACAAGGATCCATAAACACCTTACCGGAAGAGGCTAGACGCCATATGAGGTTATCGGCGAACGACAGGGTAGCTTTCACGATCCTCATTCTTGAGCTGCTCCGTACAGTCGCTAGCGAAATCGGCTTCCGCCTGGAACACGTCGAAAATTTAAATAGCCACACTGCCAAGAGACTTATAACCACACTAGCATCATCCTGCTGCTAGTAGTCCTATTCTGCCTAGGCAGCCTTATGTAAAACAATAGCAAGGGTAAGGCGCTAATCCCATAGTTCTTCACTGTCACGTGCGTTGAAGATTGGAGTTCTGAAATGACGACAGCGCGCCATGCACGCAGAACATTGATCTCCCCGGCTGTGACGGCTTATGAAATAGTCAATAAGGGAGCGGCGACGCGATAAGTGAGTGCGAAACCAGTTCAATTGGATTGCCTAAATATAGGAATCTAAAGTTAGGAGAGAAGAAGAAGAGATGGGGAGGGCATAGTGGGAACACAAATCACGCAAGTTGGCTTGAAGCAGGGCTATGTGGCTCTTCTCTTCAGCCATTGGCAAGCCGGTATCTGAGTCGAGGCTTGATGAGGACGTCTCAGCTGATCCCCAGTGATGCAGCCACTCCCACTCAGCTTGCCAAATATAGTTTGGTCAGGCATGGATGGGGGACATTCCCTTGAAATGCGTGGCTTGCAGAGCGGTGAGTGAGGCCCGCCCGGCGGTTACCTACAAAAGAAATTAGGGACACTATTAAGCCTTCCGCACGAAGGGTACTCTTTATCCCCTCCAAGATTTTCTTCCATATTTCGCAGTGCGAATACAGAAACTGACCCTCCATAATGGACAAAACGATCGGTTTGGGACGGTATCCCGCCCCCCAAAAGCGTCATCTCCGCGTCTTATCGCTTGACGGTGGTGGAGTCCGTGGCCTCTCCAGCCTGATCACACTGAGGTCCTTGATGGCCCAATTAAATCACGAGAGACGACAAGCAAAGCTTTCGTCTGTCAAACCTTGCGATGTATTCGATCTGATTGGGGGTACAAGCACAGGCGGGTAAGTGTGCCTAACTGTGACGTCTTCGTACTAACCCCATGAAGCCTTATTGCCATTATGCTTGGTCGACTTGGAATGGATGTTGACGAGTGCATCATGGCGTACAACAATCTCACCAAGCGGATTTTCAATCAGCAGGAGCACTGGGTTCCACTTAGCTGGACCGCTAGCACTCGGGGGAGGTATAGCTCTCAAACCCTTGAATTAGCAATTCAAGAAGTTATCTCCAATATTGAAGGGGTGACCGAGGCAGACAAGATGGATGACGGAACTGAAAGAAGGTGTCGCGTGTAAGGATAGTCAGTTATTACCGCTCTCTGCATCTCTAATTGGCTTCAGGTTTGTCTGCGCAACCGCCATCGAGACAACAGGAACGACCTGCCTCCGGAGCTACAATCTACACGATGGGCTCGGTATCCCCGCGACCATTTGTGAAGCCGCCCTTGCCACCTCTGCTGCTACGACTTTTTTTGACCCTGTAACAATCGGCAATCGACGATTCGCTGACGGCGCATTAGGTGCGAATAATCCAGTAGAAGTGGTGGAGGGGGAGATCAAGAACATATGGAGCCCATTTGGTGGGAAGGTTGAAGATATGGTTCAATGCTTTGTTTCTATCGGAACAGGAGACCCAGGAAAGTTCCCAGTCCAACACAATATGGGACCATTCCTTTACGAAACTCTGAAAAAGCTGGCCACCGAGACGGAAACCACGGCGAGGAAATTTGCAGCACGCTGGCATGACTACGGCAATTATTTCAGATTCAACGTTCAACAGGGTCTGCAAGGTGTTGGTTTACATGAATGGGAGAAGCAAGGCGTGATCGAGGCGGCAACGGCTGAGTACCTCGGCCAAGTTGAGCAGAAGTCGCTGATGCGACAGTGCGTCATGAATTTGAAGTCTCCACCAGGTATGCTCAGAGAAGAGTCCCAGAAAGAGTAGTGGTTAAAATAAGCAAAATAAGGGAAAGGGATTCCTAATCACAACAAACTTCGAAGTGACTCAATTTTTCTCCCGCAGCGTCTGCTAGTCCGTGAGGATTTGGAGTTGTTTCTGACTGAAGCATTGAAACGAGAGGGAGTCGTTCGTGTCGTTTTGCACGGCCTTCCAGGCACAGGGTACTTCCAATCCAGCACATACTGATCGATTATCTCCCATCGCTAACCAGTTTTTGCAGCAAATCAACCATGGCGAGATATTTTGCGTACAAAAACGGCGAAGACATGCCAATTCTTTGGATACCAGCGACCTCTGAGCTGGAGATACAAAGAAGTTTCGAGGTCTATGCGAAACAGATCTGTGGGGAGGATGTCGATCACACGGAGCCCGTGACATTAGTCAGGCAGAGACTTTCGCAACTTTTCCCTGGCCATTGGCTGGTTGTGTTTGACGGCCTGGATGATCAGTTCGTTAACATTCAACGATACCTCTTCGCAGATATACCCGGAGGCAAGATTTTAATCACAACACGTCGCAAGGATCTCGCCGGTGAGATCAGTGCTACTCATGAACTACAGGTCAAACCTTTAGACATGAGCACGGCGGAGGATCTTTTAGATGCATACATTATGCGGACGCCACCTACGGAAGATGAGATGCATCAAGAAAAAATATCTACACAGGAAAGAGACGCTAGAAGGCACATTGTCAAGGAACTTGGTGGTCTTCCGCTGGCAATTTCTATTCTTGGTGCTTCTATGCGCCCGGGTAACGGAAATCCAAGGATGAATTGCCAAGCGTACCTTACGTGGTCTGACGAAGGGAAAGATGGACTCTTGCAGAGAGCCCCGAAGTTCTGCGGCTATTCGTCCTCAGTCTGGAAGGCTTTTGATTTTGCCTTTCAGCCGATTTTATCAAGCATTGGGGGAAATCAGCATGCGGCATCTGTGGCGTATTTCGCGGCATCATGTGAGAACGCATCAAGTCTCAAGGACTACTTCCGCTTGTATCAGCAATTTAAAACAAAAAAACCGGCCATAAACAAAACGTCGCTCAGCTCAGGGATCGCTGCCGTCGATGTTCTTCGTTTCCTTGATGAGGATATTTTCAATCTTGCCATTGACGATTTGGCCTCTGTGAACATGATCACTTTGAACTGGATAGAAGATGGGCATGTCCTTGTGCCTTACATCGAAATGCATTCGCTTGTAAGAAGATGGCTGGAGCGTCGAAACCTCGATCGAAGCCTCAATCACATTGCCGTGTATACGGCACCAAAACTCTGGCTCTTGGGTTTCGGCATGTACGACCAGATGGATCGAAGTCAAGTCGCGTTGAAAGCTTTCGATCCTTTGATGACGGAACTTAAAGCGTCTCTCGACGGTGGTATTGATGCTCTACATGACAGTTGCGTTCCTGCACCGGAATTGATTTTCCCCTTTCTACTCGAAGCGCAGAAGAGCTTGTCTCAGTCAATTAGTCATCTACCGGCAGGATCAAACCAGCATAGACGGTTACGTGAATTTTCAGTAAAGTTGGAGTCCGAACTTATAACATCCTTTGAGGAAAATCTCAAAGATCTCGATTGGGATTATATTTTTGGAGATTTTACAAGAGAATTTGAGGAGCAAGTGGAGTACGCCGTGGAGTCAGACGCCAAGAACCCTGATTATTTGCTCAAGGACTTCTTCCTCAATACATTGGACTCTCACGGATGCATCCCAATTGCATTTAGCATCAACGCTCCCTGGGAGTTTTCCGCGGTAGGGCAGACCAATCTCATCGAAGATATCCGGACAGAGATCACAGCGGAAACAGAAAGCTTGCTAGAGAAGTGTCTAAGCCGCGAAGCAATTAAGCGAGCGGAAGAGATACTCGACGGAGACTCTTGTGTTGCGATTGGGGAGTGGGCAAATGAATGGAGCGGCGATGTTGCTGAAATCGTCCGCCGTTGTCTCGCCAAAGTTCTAACTAGGCTTTATCCCGGAGCGGACATGGAAGGAATCATTACCTCGAGATCTCAAGCGATAGACCCCCCGGACAAAGACATGAGCTTCGGCGATTACTTTCAAGCTTTTACAAGCTCAAGCGATCCCAGAAACGCTTTCTTTGCTATTCTTCGCCAAGCAGTGAAGAGAGCAGCGGGACAATTCTTGTCATCTTCAGAAGTGATAGACATCCTGGATGCCAGACAAGAAGCCTTCAGGGACGGTTGCGAAGCTGCCGTTCGAAGAGCCTTAGGCGATAGGGCTCAGCAAGCCTTTCATAACCAGGCGCTCTCGTCTGAAACTGAAACTGGCGAAATCACAATCTTTGGAATGCTCTGGGAGCTCGCTTGGCCTGCGAGGTTTCCTGGAGGTTTGGAAGACTTAATCGCTGCCCAAGTGTTGAATCCCATCTCTGAAGAACTCCAAAATGCTTCAAAAACTGGATTCGTCCTCGCGTTGGAGCCTTTTTGTCAACGAGGATCACAGCCGGGTGCTCCAAGCGTGGCCGAGTCTCTGGCTGTTTCTGTGTTCGACTCGAGCAATATAACCAATCTCTTCCTAAACTGGATTGCTGCGGGCTGGATTGACCCTCCAAGTGACGTGGACGATGACTCTGACGACGGCGAAGGTCCAACACACACTCTGACCTTGGATGATGCACAACGAGGCACACTTGAGGCAATGAAGGCAATTTACGACAGCCTGGGTGGTATAATCGCGCACGATTCCGCACTCGAGGCGCTGAAACGGACGTTGGAATGTCGCGAGGAGCTTCATGGCAAAGTCATGGGCAGACTCTCTCAACCTAATCTAACGGACCGGACTGGCTTGGGTCCTTTCTTTGCAAAGATGTATTTTGAAGACTGTGATAAAAGCCTTCGCTTTGCATACTTGGTATTGGGGGGTACGACTGCCGCGGAGAGCCTGGGTACTCTCGACCGCCTGGCAAAGAAGGAGTCTGAATGGAAGTTTAAGGGCGAGCATTAGTCTCATGTAGGCTTCGCGTCACCGTACCTTGAAAGTTCGCGGCTGGAGGCTACAATTAATTTCTCGCTCTCAGAACCTAAGATTAGAGCACAACTTGAGATGATCCACTTGGAGAAGGTTGAGGTTGGGGTTCTAGTTGAATCTATATTTATTAATTGTATTAGTTTGATATAAAAATGTCTTTAAATGTATGAAATTGATATGTACTGTTATTGCGACGGGTTCTACAAGGATTATACAGGACGACGTTTTATAGCAAAGGGGGTAAGTTCTCTCGCTGTCTCGAAGACTAGCAAGTCACAGTCAATTCGATAGACTGGCTATTCAATCCGTGCGGTCAAGTCGCTAGAAAATCCCAAAATAAAAATTGTCATCTTCGGAATTCATAACTTGCCAATCCAACGTTCCCATGTCTTGAGTCGATGGTTTTTAAGGGAATAGCAAGAGGGGACGAACTTGTAGGGTTGGTCTCTGAGGAAGATGTAAAAGGGAAGATATAACGGAGGGAGCCGGGGAGATCAGTGTTTAACATGCAGCGTAATGGGTGAGGCTACCAAGACGAAGTTGGCTTGGACCGGCTCGCACGTGACATATAGTGGTGTGGCTTATGCGGACAGGGGATGACTGTAGCTAGCCAGAATTATGTTAGTGCGGTTGGCGCATCTTGGCAATGTGGCTTGGTTTAAATTCTCGAAGTGTTCAAAAGCGGAAGCCGATTTCGCAGCGGACTATACCTCTAGACTGCACTGGAGACAAGACAAATTGATCAACTATTCGTTACAATCCTGTGTACTTTGGAGAACTTAATTAGGTTGCGCGTTCATGACGCCAAGCCCAGCCGCTGCGCTCAGCCTCATCTTGCGCCACGTTCGAATGGAAAACCGAGTGCCTTCGTACTTCTTAGCTTGCTAAGAGAAGAAGGTTACTAAAAAAAGGACCCGGAAACCTTTTCAGGGCCAAAAAAAAAGTTGCCTAGCCAGATTCGGTTAAAGTTTTGATTCACCCCTGTCAACGCTTGCTCGCACGTGCTTCCGAGTCTAAGTTACTGTGTTGGCGGTCAGTCTTTGCTACTTTGAACGATATACTATTTGCGGACATATGAGCGTATATATTATCACTACGTGATTTTGGAATTATCGCTTACCCAGATATTTTTAGGAATTTTGGGACGTACTAGACCTGTTTAATCTCTAGACTATTTCTTCTCAAGTTCGAAGGCTTCGTGCGAGCCGAAGGCTAGCACTCTCGTTATACTAGAACATTCCCGTGGACTCAGCGCCTAGCCTATTCTAGTAAAGGGCTTATGAGTATCCCTGTCTGCCGAGCGGGGCCGAAACTTTCGCAGTGAGTTTGAGGGGAAGCCGATTTCGTTAGCGACTGTACCGCGATGAGAAAGCTCCTGCGAGAATGATAAGAAAAGAATGGGAGACGGATATAGAGCGAATATCAATTTTTCTTGCGATATATATTGCAGCTTATATTATGTGCATTAATACCCTTAAAACAAAAATAATGTGCTATCTAGCTAGCTGGGAAACCGATATGAAATGAACTCGAAAACCTGAAAGGTGATAAATAGTCTAGAAAATGCATTTAAAAATTAATAATAGCTACTGACTTCGGCAACTCAGCTCGTTCCATAAACTTGTCCATTTAATCTAGCTTTATCGTTAATATAGTAATCGCAACGAATCTGAGCGCTTATTTATTCGCCTTTTACGCTTAACAGAAATTTGGAATGTGTAGGAAGTCTATAAAGTAAGAACTCGGTAACGAAGTGTGCTACTATCGGGACAAATATATCTTGGTCGGAAATCGGATTTTGTGATATGCTTTAGGGATATTAGTATGGAGGAGGTGTATTATCGGATCTGGTATACAGGCTATCTATAGAAGTCGAGCTTAATAAGTCGCTAGGTATCTTATATAATACTATATTAGTAATAGGCAACGGAGAAGGTAAGGGAGATAACCTATACGGAGATAATAAAGAGTCTATCTCGGGTTCCTCTTATAGAGGCTAAGCTATAATAAAGTAGTTTATTAGTCTTATAATAACTAAGCTAGGTTATCCTATAATATCCCGAAATATATTTGCCTAAAGATATTTAATATTATATATATAGAATAGTTCTCTATCCGTAATTAGCTTAGTAAAATACCTATAATAATATTCCTTTTTATAAGAGAAATAGGCAATTGGATTATTCTTCTTACCGGGCATTATATAAAACCTATATACTACTAGTTATTTAGGAGGCCAATATTCGTAAGACTAGTATCTAAAGGAATCTAATCTAGACGAAATCGTGAAAAAGGCGGCTAATATTTTAATAGTTTTTAATATATTAATTATTAATATATAAATATAGAAATGAGATAATCTAGTATTAGATAACTTTAGTAGAGAAGTTAATACTATAACGAGATTTAGTAAGAGTAATAGTAACTTCTATAGTAAATAGGTGCCATTTTTAGTATATAGAGCCTATTTGAGCCCCTTTAGTAAATAGAAGAATTATATAATTAAAATAAAGTTCTATATTAGTAGAAATAAACTAGTATTATAAAGAGGCTAATCTCGTAAAGTCTATTCTTAGAATAAAGAAATTAAAATATGGCTCTTATTATCTTAGTTTAGAGATCGATTTAGGCTTCTTATTATAAAAAGTTTTATTAGATTAAAAGGATTTATACTACCCGAATATAAAGTAATTTTAGATATAATATATATATAAATATAAGGTAAGCTATATTATAAGGTTATTATATATTAGAACCAAATTATAGCTCTCGCTAATACTTTAGCTATTTCCCGTTATCTAGTTATTACTTATATTATTCTATTCTTATATATAAGATATATTATTTTTACGGGAAATAATTAATATATTATATAATATATTACGCATTTATTAATATTTCTAGTATTATTATATTATATAGTTTTCTCTATATCCTTTATAATAAAAAGAAAAAAAGAAAAAACTTCTAATAATATATTATATAATTCTAACTTCCAAGTTCTCGCCTTACCTATATAATTACCTATTTCTTCTTCTATAAACAGTTAATTACCGTATTTAATACTATAATTATCCTATTATATATTATATTATAGTTATGAAATATATTCATAAAAATATTCCTATTTCTAATTAGAAAAAAAGTGAATCGGAGCTTATAAGCTAATAGTTTAAGGTTCTTGAACTTTAGTATAAACTCCGTAATAATATTCTCGAATCGGTTTTTGCCTATATCTCTTACCTTATTCCGAGTAATTTCTATATATATTCTAGTATACTAATCTTATAATATATTTATTTTTAGTCTTATTACCTTACTAGGTTTTTATTTATCTATATCTTTATAACTATATTAAATATATATCTAAATAAAAACATAAAAAAATAACTTGAGGTTATACTAATATATATAATCTTTGCCTTTAAAAATCTTAATTACTATAAATTATATAGTACTAGTTTGGTAATAAGTCTTACTCGGTATACTATCTAGCTTCTTTACTAAGTCTAAGTTAATTAGTCTTTTTTTTAGGGTATCTTTAATAAAGAATTTAGTAATAATAATATTATTTTCGGAGATATCCTAATAAAGAATCTTTCTATTCTCGAGTAATAATCTATAACCTCAGATAATATTATATAGCGCCTCCAAAAGCTCTCTAACTAATTAATATTTATAAAAAAGTTATCTAGCTAGTAAAGTTACTAAGTAATAGTTTACTTAATTACTATATATCTTACTTTTATAGTCTATTAAACTATTAGCTCCGGCTTCTTAAATACTATTAATATTATTCCGCTATTATTTATTCTAGTAATCTGCCAGATTATTAACTACTATTTCTTAAATACTAGAAGTACTAATTACGTCTAGCTAATCTTCTTTATATATATTTATTATACTAGTATAACTATTATCGGATTTAGACCTCTTTAGTCCATTACCTCTATTAAGTTTTTTATCTCTTTTTCTTTTCTGCCTAGAAAAAGAAGTTATAGCACTATCTATATTAATTTCTAGGCTAATTAAATAAGCTATACTACTTTCTAACCTTCCTATAAAACTTGTTTTCGAGTACGCCCGGCTAGATTCTAAACTACTATTAACCTAAAAGGCTTTCTTTAATAGCCTTTATAATAACCCAAATTTTATAGCTTGTTATAAATGTGAGATAGTATTAGAGTTACTATTAATAGTAATCTGCTTATAATTAAACTATATAGTAATACCCGTAACTTCTTTCTTCTTTACTAACTTTAATAGTTCTCTTTCTTATTACCTTTTATTAGATAGCCAAGCAAACTTTATAATATACTTCTAGTTTATTAAGCCAGGTCTCCTTCCTTAATAATATATTATTTCCCGGTATACTATTACTTTTATTAAGGCAATTAGCTTATTTTCTAAAAAGATTCTTATATTTTATATAATAATATACTTATTATTACTATTATACTTAATAAATATATTTAAACCCAATTCTATATTAGATATTATTATATAGCTAGTAAGAACTTTAATAAATCGCTCTGGCTTTTTATAAATATTAAACTTCTCGAAGTTATATAGTCCAGATCTATTAAATACCCAAAGCTATATTATATTTCTATAAATTATAAATCCAGGCATAAATCGCTATTCGGGTTAACTTTCAAATACTTTATATATATATCCTACTAATTATACTAGTATTTTTATAAATTAATTCTTATTAGAATTCTATTTATATTCTCTAATAACAAGTATATTAGACTAGTTATACTCGCTATCTAGTAAGGTAGTATTAGCAGAGGTAAGGAAAATATTAAGCTTATAATTAGCCTCTAAGCCCTTTAATACTTTATTTACTAATATATAGTATTTATAGTAAAGTCTACTAAGAATAATATCCTGGAACCTTATAAACTACTTAAAGAATAGACTTTAAAATAAAGGCTCTAGCTACTTACTCTAGTATCTCTCTATATACTAGTCTCTTAATTCTTTATAGATATTTCTTATATTATTTGCCCAGTACTTTTCTTTAAAGTATTACTTATAGAAGCCTCTAATATTATAGTAAATACGGCCTATAAGTTCCTTAAATATCCACTAGTTAATCTTATTATATATTTACTTAATTCCTCTCTAAGAAGCCGAGCTAAATTATAGTAATATATTAAAGACAGCTTTTTTAAAAATAATTAGAAATATAATAGAAGTTATTTATATAACTAATCTAAATATAATAAGCTAAATATCTATATTATTTCAGGTTAGTATATTAGATTTATTTCTTATAATCTATTCTACTAGAAAAATAGCTAATATACTATCTAATTAGTTCGAATTCACGTAACTATATAGAATAGCAAGATTACTAAAAAGAGTTCTATTAGTAAGTTATAAAGGAAGAATTCGAGTTACTAATTTAATTAGTAATACTTAAATAAGGTTAAATATAAGGTTTTTAGTAGCTATATATATTAGTAAGAAATATAAGCAAAAAAAGTTAGGTTATACCTATAATAGTAGCTATTAAAAAGACGACCTATATAATATTAGAAGAAGTAGTAATACTTAGATCTATATATATTAATTAAAAGAAATATTAAAAGAAATTTAATTTTTCCTTAATTAAATTACTTCTAATTTTTTCTAGTTTAGAGGCAATAGCTATAAAAAAGATTATTAATACCATAATAAATAGAAGACATAAATTAGGTAGAGGATTTTAGTAAGATTATTATTACCTTAATTATAAATAAACTAGCTCTAGCTAAATAAGCGAGTATACTACTAGTTTTAGCCTTAGGCTTTCTATTAAAATATTAGATATACTTATTATACTATCTATATTTCCTTAAAATATAAATAAAAGCAGCCCGGCCCTTTATATAGTAACTAGACTTTTATATTTAGTGAATTTGCAAGAAAGCTAGAAAATCTATATATTAGGTATTAGAAATTAGTAAACGAATTAATATAAGAATAAATATATATAAATTCAAATATAATATTTTTATAGTACGGGGCTTTTAATACCTTTAATAAAGGCTTTACAAGTTTATAGAAATTTTAGAGAAAAAGAAAATATTATTTTATAAATTCTTTATATTTATTTCTGCTTTTATTATCCCAAAATAATTATTAATAATTTCAAATAAGGCCTTAAGTAGCCTAATACTTCTCTAATATAAAAAAAATAAAGTTATAATTACCTTTCCTTACTTACTTATCTCTCTTCCTAATATAAAGGCAGAAATTCGCTAATATTAAAGCAAATATTTCTAGTATAACTAGTAAATTAGTAATTATAAGCTTAATTATAGATAAAAATATTATATATTTCTTATTCTTTTTTTTTTCTTCTTTCTTTTTCTTTTATTCTCTAAAGAAAACTTCCTCTATCTATTTATAGTATTTATATTAGTCTAGTTAGTAAGGGCTTTAGTAATATTAGCTCTATTAGCTTTTTACTATTTCGTATATTCTTATTATTTAGAGCCAAAGCTATTACTACTACTATTACTACTAGTATTATTTGCGCTACTACTTAATATTATTTTAGTACTAGTATAATTATTAATATATAAGTAAGATATTAGATAAAAAACTAGAGCTTAAAGTAAGTAAAGTATAAAGAAAGAATCTAGGTAATATTAGGCGAAATATTAATTTTTATATTTTATTCTTAAGATTAAATTACTAATTAATAATATATTAGGGTAAGTAATTAAGAAGATTTCGCTCTATTATATAGCTTATACTACTATACTATAACCCTATTTTATACTATAAGAATTACTAATTTAGAGAATAATATAGTTATATTATTTTTACTTCTTACTAATTTATTTTAAGAGCAATTAAATTCTATAAACGAGCTAATAATTACCTAGATATAAATTAATTATTACTAGCTAATTTAATAATATTACTATTAACTTCTATAATATAGATTAGAATAAATATACTAAGGTTTATTATAGGGCCATTTCACTTATATAGTCTAGTAGATTTAATAATATTTATAGCTCTTTTATTACTATCTAGGTATTTATCTTTTGAAATAGCTAGTTTTATAAAATTATAAGTAATAATTATAGCTTATTTAATTAGAGCTACTAAATATAATTTAAAAACGAAGTATAATAAATAATATACTTTACTATATTAGAGAAGGCTATTAATAGAGACAAAAAGATTCGCTATAAGATTACTATAATATAATTTATTAAAATAGAGACAAAAATTCCTATTTCCTCTATTTTAGTATAAAGTATATCTAAAAATAACTCTCTAGGCTTAAGGGTATTTATTATAATAGACTTTATTAAAGGAAATTCTTTAGATAAGATTTTGGAAGTATTTCCTAAACCTAAAAGTAATTAAATCTTATAAGAAAATATTAGTAATAGAGATCTAGATATTATCTATTATTAAATTACAAATATTCTCTTAAAACTATTAGAATATAATTTTTCTCGGATTAGTTCTTTATCTAGAATAAATTATAATACCTATATTAACTCGAGATCCTTAATACTTAAGATAAATAAGATAAAATACTATAAAAATATTAATATTAGTAATATATTAACTCTTTAAACTTCTTATAACTAGCCTATATTTTTATATTTTCTCTATATATAAATTATATTTCTAGAATCTTCTTTTCTATTACTAAATACTTTTATTATATTACTAAATAAGATTTATAGTATTTTTATAAGTAATCTAATTCTATTAATAATATTAATAATACTTATAGTAAGTATATATATTATAGTATTTTTAAGGTAATATTACTATATTTCGTTTCTAATAAGTATAATTATAGTTCTTTTAAATTAATTTATAATAATTTCTAATTTGGAAATATTCTTATTAATAATATTATAGATCTTAAAATTATTATAGTAATTAATTAGAAATAGGCTTATACTATATTATATTAAATACTCTATTTACTACTATATTAGCTCTTAATTAAGAAACTAATTTACTAGAATAATAAAGACTTTCCTATATTTTATTTCTTATAATATAAATTCTATTTTTAAAAATTCATTTAGATATTAAAAAAGAAAAAAAGTAAAAAAATATAAGATATAGCTTTACTAACTTTAAAAAATAAAAGGATATTAAGTCTTATATAATAATCTATAAATAATAGAAAATTCTAGTTTTATGAACTTATTTATTTATCCTTTAAATCTATTAATAATCTAGTATAGGCTATAATTCGAGAAATAATTTCTAATCTTAATAAATTTATAATTATAACTAATACTAAACTAAATGCTTTTATAAAAGGCAAGATAAAGTAGTTATACTAATATAATTTGAAATAGGATATAATAAAAGAGAATATTAATAAAAAAAATATATAATTTAAAGTACTAAAAGAAAAAGTAAAGAAAGAAAATAAGGAATTAAAGAAAATATAATATAAAAGATTATAATTAGGGAGATCGGCTATAAGTAATAAAGTATTTCAAAAATATACTTAGAGATATAAGGAGCTAGAGTTATTTTACTTATAAAATAAAGCTAGAATTAACCCTATACTTTAGAATTTATATTATTAATAATTAATATACCTTATTAGTATAAGTAAGTCAAGATAATTATTATATATACCCCTTCTAATATAAGCTTCTTTATTACTTTTTATACTTATTACTAAACCCCTATACTATATTATTTATTAATATATATTCTACTAGTATTATATTCTAATAAACTTATAATATTTCTTAGAACTAGTAAATCTATATTATATTTATTATTTATTATATCTTTTATTTCGCCCGTTATTTATATAGCGGCTATAATATTAATATTCTCTAAATAACTAAATGTCTTATTATTAGAATACTTTTAAATAATATTATAATACTTTTATAATAAGCTTAGTATAATTAAAAAATAATTATTTAAAGCTAGAAATTAATATTAATATAGAATTAACTAAAAGCTTACCTTATAATTAGTTAATTATCTAATAAAGAATATAGTATAAGATATATATATATATAATTAGATATACTAGAACCTAATTTCTCTTTACTTATATAATTATAATTTTGAGAATAGTATTATTAAGGCAATATTCTTTATTTCCTTCTAGCTTAAAAATTCGCGATATTATAATAAATATATAGGATACTATAAATTCTAAATATTATTAGTTTATTTAAGGGTACTTAAGAGAATTTTAATTTAGTATAAAGATATATAAGAATCCCAAATAATTAATTTTTTAGAATCTTTTTTATACTAAAGTATAGTACTTCTTTTAGCTAAGGTATATAAGAGTATTAAAGCCTAATTATACTAGGGTATTATAGGTTAGTTATTAGATTACTTAATAAATTATATAGTATTAAGCCCTAAAAAATCCCGTAAACTATAATAAACCTCTTTAATTATAGAGATTAGATATTATCCTAAAATTAATACTAAATGCTTTAAAGAGGCCTAGTATTACGGGGGCCAGATAGCTATACTATTACTTGAGGCTATATTAATATTATAATAATACTTATAAGATTAAATTATTTAAGTAATTAAGGAAATATAGCTTAATATAATTAATATTACAGAAT